CTGGCCCTGAACTTTGGTTCACCAGCCAGTCAGAAGAGGTAATGTTTCCCTTAGTCTTTGGAAGAGGTACATTTTTTACAAAGCCTGCATCTCTGAATCAAACATAACCAAACGGTAGCTGCAGAGAGGCACTGTGGGGGAGACAAGGGATACCTCGCTAGGCACGTTGGTCAAGAAGGGAACAGGCAGTGCTAAACAGTTTTGATTAATGCTTTTGCGTGGTGATCTCTGTATGTATGTGAAATTCAAAAGTTAACTATTTGGAGTGTCTTTATTGATTGATTGCCCTTATCTGATTGTAATACTGTGCTGTGGAGCAAAGTTAATAACCCACAAAAAGCTCCCACTCTTGTAGTAATATTTGATCTTACTCATTTTGTTTGCTGAAACTGCTGAGAAAGACTATCATGTCTCGTGTGTATGCTTTTGCACACCCCCTTGTTGCAGAACAGGAGCAGTTGTCACATACGTACCCCATATTTATATAGTATATTTCAGTGATAGCTTCTAGCAAGATTTTTTTAAAGTTGTTTTGTTTAGTGGGTTATTTCATAACAGTTTTTATGAGGTGCTCACAAATAGGCTACTGAGGTTAATGCAAAGTGGGTGATTTCAATAGGAGGATGGAGCAGGTAGGCAGTTTGGAAGACAATGACAAGAGGCATTAGTAGAGGGAAAGCCAGTGCAACCGTTAAAGGACTAATGAGACAAAATTAATGAGGAGGTGAGTTAGTGGCTGCATTTTGTGTGACCTGAAGGGGCTGGTGTTTTGTGATCATGAGAGTTAAATCACAGAGTAGGAAGAGAAAGCAGTATTCAAAATGGATAAAGGGAGGCCTGATCCAAAGCAGTATCGAAATACCCGTTGGTTTCCATTAATGGTTCCTTTGGGTACAGAGGTGTCACACACAGTGAGACATGAGGAGGGGAAGCCCTGGACACGGAACAGGGAAAGAAGCAGCTGGGTCTGGAAAAACACCGTGCACTGAAAAGAGGAGCCAAAGGCGAGCAAGGGGCCAAAGAGGCCCAGAAAGCAGCTCTTATCCAAACTATGGGGACAGGCAGGTTCTATGTGTAGAGCGTGTTGACATGTTAACTGTCACTGGTGCTCAGAGGGCACATGCAAACCTCACTGAGGCGTCAGCACCAGCGGCCTCAGCCCCGCCCAGGGCCTACCTGTTCCGCTATGTGCTTCGTCCTGCCTGGCCCCTTTGAGGAGGAGCCGGGCGGGGGCCAGCCTGCCCACAGGTCATGGCTGCCCCCCCCGAGGTGGTGGGGCTGGGAGCCGGAGTGCCGGTCACAGCGACAGGAGCAAAGGAGGGAACCGGGAGCAGATTTGGCGGGGGGAGGTAGGAGTCTGATGCGGGGCCTGTGGTGACTGCAAGCGCAGGGTGAGGCGGCAGCTGGGAAGCGTGGGCTGAACAAGCGGGTGTGTGCCTTCAGGTGATGGCTGAAGCCTCTCATGAGGCTGTTCTGAGAAAGGATGTGAGGGATGGTGCAGCTAACAGATCTACTGCTGATCCCTACAGCTTTTACAGTTTGTCGCCTGGAGCTGATCTGACAGGGGTACAAGTGCTGCCTCTCCTCTTTCAGGGTTTTGGCTGGAGATGTTGAAGGGTTATCAGCCCTCCACTCAAAGCGTCAGGGACAGAGTTGTTACAACGTAAATGGTAGCAGGCCACCAGAATCAATACAAATTGAATGTCTGCTGGCGAGACTGCACAGTGCTTGCTTTCTCATGTAGAGGAATCAATATGAATTGGCCACAGGACAGTAATACACAGATGGGGAGCGAAAAGGTAGATGGAAAGCTGAGGTGAACAGTCGTCACTAGGTCCAGGCTGTAATTTTAGGCAAAAAGTTTTGCGAAAGCTGTAATTCACCTGCCCCTTGAGTCACCCTTGTGGGCATAATGGCCTAGCGACACAATGCTTCCGAGGTTTATTCTTCTTGGTTCATGGATGTACTGCTTTATTGTAATGGCTGAAGTGATACGGGTCCTGGCACGTCCCTGCCCCTTTCATCCACTTTCCACCACGGACAGGCGAAAGTAGAATACATCAGCCCTTTTTATTGCTTTTCCCTAGTTCCCCTGCAGGGTCTTACTCCTTCCTATAGGCATGTCACCCAAGCTGCAGTTAGCCTGCTGGGACAGTGTTGCTGTCTCAAGGATTTCCAATTCAGGCTAGCGACTCTGGGTTTCCTAGTGTGGAAGATTTAATAAAAGAATGATTCCAGAGCTATATAACGTCTGTATCTCAAATGACTCTGTTTCTAATTAGCCATTGGCAGTGGTGTGAGAATGAAGAACAGTGGTGACTGGAGAGCTACATTTTACACTAAAGTGCCTTTGAAAAGTTGTCATTTCAATGAGGTGTGCTAAGGGATGGTGCTGAAAGGAGGCTGGGGTAAAAGTACCCTTTTTTTTAAGGGTCGTGTGGGACCTCCATCTTCCCCGAGTTTTTCTGCATCTGTCTGAAACATACCCACTGTGTGTTGATGTTTATTATTTTTTATTTAAAAGCTGCATTTTGAAACTCTCCCTTTTACTGCAGATCTCGGCTTTACAAATTATTTTAAGGACTGAATTCTCTTGGGAATTGATGGTTTCTTGCCTTAAGGAAAGGTGAAATCAAATTATTTCTACCCCTTTTCTTATCCAGATAGCAGTAAGTGAGATGCTTTTGAGCCTTCAGATGTCTAGTTTACAGTAAATATGCCAAATTGGCCTCGGTTACATGCTTGCAGTACCATGGGCACCCTTGTTAAGTAATGATTACCTGACTTGACACTGTTTTAACATGATCTGTGTACAGGGCTGTACCCAGTTTTTCATTTTGCTGTTTAATATGGAGCTTTGTGCATAGACACTTCTGTATACTGACAGGAGACAGACAAAAATATTTGAATCACCTTTGGGTTTCCTTTGCCAATCTGGTCTAGTTGCTGTGCAGACAAGGAGGAAGATTGGAGGCAGAAATGTTTGGTGCTATATGAAAAATGATGTACTGGAAACTCGGACCGGGAACAGAGCTGCTTGCATGGGACTACCTTTATGTCCTAGGAAAGGAGGACTACTTTCTGGGGACAGAGTTCATACCATGCAGGAAAGGGAGGGAGGAAGAGTAGAAGATTCAGCTGTATCACGGCTATGAAGTATCTCTGTTCTTAGAGGCAGGGCAATTAAAAAGTGGAAAAGTTCTAAGTCATCCGAAGTTGTTGAAGCAGATGGTGCAGGAGTTATTAGCCTTGTGTTTTGTGCTCAAGTTCTTTCTCCACCAGGTATGCCCATTGTATTTATAGTTTGCGGAGGAAATGAAGGGAAATAATTAGACTCTAGCTGTGCAGTTTGTAAATTAACAGAATTTGAGGGTGGTTTGCAAGGGTGAACTGCTCACAGGCTATGTGCAAAACCAGCTCATTTTACTTTTACTAATTTGTTCTTTAATTAATTGGTGCCTATGTCTCTTGATTTGTGCTGAGACTGGCAAGATGCTTCATGCAGGAAATGTGTTTTCATCTTGATTAATTCTCTGCTGGGGCAAGCCTTTTTAAAATACTAGCCAGCCACCTTCTCCCTTAGCTCCAGGAGGTTAGAGTCAGAGTCGTAAGGCAGACGGGATGGGAGAAGGCAGGCAGAGACAGGCCGTCCCGCTTCGCAGGCGAGGAGGTGGCACGCCTGGAGACGGAGTGAGTAACTCTCACAGGGAATTTAGGGCAAAGATGGTAAGTGAGCCTTGCTTTCCTGAGAGTTAATACTGCAATTACCACATGTTCAGTCAGATTTTTATTTTATGAAAAAAGTTGTCTGTGGCAGAGTTGCAACTCTTCACTACCCGTTGGAGCAGGCAGGCTTCAGGGAAGTGCTCCTCAGCGCAGGGAGTGCGATGCCGGCCGGCAGGTTACCTGCCCGGGGGAAGCGCGGGGCTGGCCGCACGCTTTGCCGAGCGGTGATTCCGCGGGACTGACTGACCTAGCAGAACCCTGGCGACGGACGGACGGGCAGCGGAATAAGGCAGCTCCAGCAAGCGGAGCGCGGCCCTTCCCGCCCCGC